ATATTTGGCAATTCACTGATAATATGGTGTGTTTTGCGACAAAAAGTGATGCGAACCGTAATCAACATATTTCTACTGAACCTCACGCTCTCCGATCTGTTGACCGTCTCATTCAACGCGACATTCAATTTCGTATTCATGTTGACCGGTCACTGGCCATTCACCACCACCTACTGTCATATCAATAACTTCATCAACAATTTGACAATCGCTTCATCGGTAATATCATTATTATTTTCCATTTCTATAGTTATTTACCATGTACAATATTACTAGTATTTTAAATTTATCAAAGTTAGAAATTCTATCATGATATGGTATATGGATATATGAATATTATGCAAATTATTTATTCTGAATCACTTATTAATATTCTGTATAATATTTACACCATTTTTTATTTAACATAATTTTTATTATTTATGCAATTATAGTTTATTCATATTTAGTCGTAAAATATGCAAAACAAAAATCCAACTAATTATAGTAATTAATTTAAACATTTAATTTTATCATAATATAGAAGAATATTATAATATTTAAAGTAAATTTAAATAGCAATTATCTCAACTCTATAATAAGCAACTTATTATAGCTAACAAAAGGATTTATATAACACTTTAGTAAAAAACAATAAAAACTAATTTCGTGCAATATAAATAATAAATATGTTTTTGCTTTAAATCAACAGTTTTAAATTGAAAAATATTGCCCTTTGGTATATACAATCCATTAAACGTTGTCTTAACTAAAGTACAGACATTAAATATCTCATAAAAATTAAATATTTATATACACTTTATTAACTGTCTGTTTATTTGATAGGTATTCACGGCTACTGTTATGAGTATTGATCGGTATGTAATTTATTGTATTTATTATTCATAATAATTGTCTAAACTAATTCAATTAAAATATAAATTATTTATAAACCCATTGTATGTATTCCCATTGAATTATAAATATACAAATTAAATGACATTATATTTTTATCGATAATTGTAATGTAAGGAAATAAAGTTTTTGTTTTTTATTAGTTTAATTTTGTGCTAATTCTACATTATATAAAAATAGTTTATAATAGGATTAGAGTCGATAAAAGCAATCTCTTTGAGTGTATAGACAGTTGTGAAAAAAATCTTAAACTTCTGCAAAGAAAGAGTGAAATATATCTATAGATTGGAGAATATATCGCATTTGAGATTAAATAATATTGTTTTTTGAATCGGTTTCTAATTTTTAGGATAGAGTTACAACTGATTGAAAATAGAGATATAAGAAGCAAAAAAGGTTTATGTGAACAATAAATACAATTATCGTAATTACAATCTATTTCTCAATCCGTATATAAGATACCAAGCACAACAAATAAATTGATTTCCTATTTTAGGACCATATTTTCAATTTAATCTTGTAGTAAAGCTTAAAAATGAAAATTATTCTTATATAAAACTTAATAAAATATTTTTGCATATAACTCTAAGACTATTTTTGTTTATTACGATGAAATTTTTTCAATCCATTATTTGAATTATTTCTGGAAATATATAAAATGCTATAAAAGTTTTCAAAGAGATGTCATTTTCAAATTTATTAAAACGGGACATAAAAGACTTTTATAATAATGTTAACAAAAAATGACAATTTTATACAAAGGATTTTTATTATTAATGAAATATCTATGATATAACTTACACGCCCATAGCAAATTGTCATATTAAATTAACTGTGGCTAGTTTACCACTATTACAAAATATTGCCAACAGTGAATATTTTGCCCAATGGTAGACAGTTGTACTGTATATCATATTTAACCTAGGAATATTAGATTAACATGTTTTATTCACTGACTAGATATTCGTATAACTAATCGGATTTCGTGTTAATGTCAGTCGGAGACTAAATGACAGTACGTTTTATACACTGTATTACATGTTTACTATGAATTGGATTTAATATGGATTATAGCAATAAAGACAAATGTACTTTCTATTGGAAATAAAGTCGAGAAAATACTTTCGATAACTTAAGATAATTATTTTGACACACCATGTGAATAGTCTTAAGGCTATAGTCTATAGTAAGTTAGTAACAAAATGATAAAGTTTTTTAAACACAAATGAGTGATAAATAAAACAATTTAAAACACAAAAGAGATCTTCGTAAACATTTAAAATTAGATTATTATTCTAATAGTCCCTGTATGAAATGGTTTAAACAAATTATTTGAATAAATTTACAATTTCTTTGGGAAATCATTGTTTTATTGAAAATAATAGAGTTTTTCACTTATATTATTCTGAATAACAATGTACTCTTAACAAACAAATGTGATTTAATTTATTCATATATAAATGTATATAATTTAAAAATACACACAAAGTGCCGACAGTTATACCAAATTCATTATTGAGTGCGAATGGAATTCTGTTTAATTTTGCAACTTAAATATTTTCAACATTTTTAATAATTATTTATATTTTTATACTGTTTTGTGATAAATAAGTTGCTTTCACGAGAGAGAGAGAGAGAGAGAGAGAGAGAGAGAGAGAGATTCTAATGTGATTGTGATACAGAACTTTTCTATTTGTGATAATTTAGTTAATTATATGGGAATCTAATACTAACGAGTCTGTAGTCACTATAATACAGTATAGCGACTACACTGTACACAGAAGTATAAACAGTAACTTAATTAAATTCATATACAATTCTGTATATTTACTGCATTTAGTCACTGAGCCCATAGTGTCTAGAGTTTTGTGTTTTCCCTAATCTATGTATGTATTAGGAAGTGATGGAAATGACCGTAAATTATATACTCATGAGATTACAGGGTATTAATTACAACTAAGGTGTTAAGCGTGGCTATTTTAATACCATTTACAAGTAAATGTTTTCTAAAAGACCTTTTTACAATATTTTTACCATTTTTATTATTTCTCTTATTGAACAATAACTAGTGTAAATTTTATTTCCAACTATTTTAATTAAATTTAAAGGAAAGATTTAAATTTATATAAACAAAACGTATATCAAAATATTCATAAAATATTAATTTTTGTGTGTATAGCACAAAATATTTTTATATTTTATACCCTGGTCACAATATTACTGAAAACATAAGAGCGTCTGATTTTTGTTGAGTTGTTTTTAGTGTGGAATCAAAGCGAGCACTCACTCAAGCACTCAGACTCTGCACTCAATGAACCAATTCATGCATTCATTCCATACTAAAAAACAACTCATTTTTGGTGCACAACAATCAGACACTCTAACGATTTCTTTAATATTGTGACCAGGGTATAAAATATAAATATATTTTGTGATATACACACAAAAATTAATATTTTCTGAACATTTTGCTATAGTTTTTGTTTATATTAAGTTATTTTATGTAATCCTTTTTAATTTTAAATATTAATAGTTGGCAATAAAATGTACACTGGATATATTAGAGAATACAGTTTCACAGAATTGACTTACACATTATAAATAAATACAGAATATAAAAGTCATACAAATCCCATTTTAAGGATCTAATTAAAATTCAATATACAGTATAATAATTAGATTTTATATTGATTCAAACGTGATATTGACCTTTTTTATTGAGAAAAACAAATCCTATAAGTGGTGCACATGGAGTAGTACTGTATTCACAATTAATTCATTAGATTTTATTATTTTTCTATACCTTTCTTACTCTATTTAGTGAAACACTACATCAATGGATTTATGTTAACAAACTATACGCGGATCTATACTAAAGTATAGTGCCCTCTTATGTAATAAATGCTTTTAATTAGCTATTTTTGTAGACTATAAGCCATTTTATTTTTATAGTATTAAGTGTTAATCTATTAATTTCTTGCCCTTTATTACTCTATATAACATCGGTTTATATTTAGTTTTATTTTTGTTTTGATCACATAGACTATGTGACATGGTCAATCAACAAGTGTTCAATGAACTGTAGCCTATGTTTGAAAATCCTTATGATATTTTGTATAATATAAAAATATGATCTACTTTTAAAATGTGAAAATAAGTGTATATTTGTCCATCGATGCAATGTTGAGCACTAAATTGAAGGTGACTTTCCCTGCAATACATATTCTCTCAATTGAAACACACTCAATTTCAAAAGTAAATTGTTTTTTCAATAAAAACTTTTTTAAAAGCAATGAATTTTAAAACCAAGATCCATTTCAAATTGAACTTTTCAACATTATTTGAATGTGAAAAAATACTTTTAAAAAATCTTTTGATTTTAGCTAGTAAAACTTCATTGTAAACAGAGTTCATGCATTGGTTTACTATTAAAACAAGTATTAAAAATTACTATTAATAACCATTAGTCCAAAATTCATATTTTATGTTTGAAAATAAATAAAAACATACATTTTCTATTTTTAAATCAATATTTGTTTACACTTTGAATGTAAGAATATTTTAATAATTTTGTTTTTTGACGATAACAATGATTAATAGCTTACTATA